GTGTGTGTGTGTGTGTGTGTGTGTGTGTGTGTGTGTGTGTGTGTGTGAGCTTAGTTGGAGGCGCAGGTTTAAAACCAGAGTGTGCTGGCAGCCTCCTCAGGGCCCTGCTCTACCTCTCCACACTTCTGACCTGACTCAACTGTTTGCCAAGTCCCACAGCTTGCTGTCAGGGTCCTCCCTATTTAAGTGACATGTTTGCAATCTGCTTCTTTTGTTTGTTTTTTGCTTTGTTTTGTTTTTTGAGGCAGGGTTTCCCTGTGCTGCCCTGGCTGTCCTGGACTCGCTTTATAGACAGGCTGGCCTTGAAATCACAGGGATTCGCCTGCCTCTGCCTCCCAAGTGATGGGATCACAGGCGTGTGCCTCCTCACCAGCCATCTGCTTCTTGATATATCAGTATTATATGTAATCTGCGAGGTTTAAAAACAGGAAATGGGGCCAGCAAGATGGCTCAGTGGGTAGAGGCGCTTGCTGCAAATCCTAACAACTAGGGCTCCATTCCCAGGATCCACTCTTGCAAAGAGAGGGCTGACACCCTGGGCTTGTACTCTGACTCCACAGGGGCCCATCACCACTGTCTGTCTTTCTCCCTCCCTCCACCCCCCCACCCCAATAAAAATGTGAAATGAAACAGAACAATGAATTCTCACCTGGCCTCGCAATGCAGTAGTGTTAAAACCCTGGGCCTCGAGCTTCTGATTGTGAACTCACAGACTGCGTCACCGTGCCAGCTATCAGGAAGGCGCCGTTTAATCATTCACATGTGCTGGAGACGTCTGTGCGCGCTCACACCCACTTCGTGACTAACAGGCTGAGAAGCAGAGTGTGCTGGCTCACCATCCCAGCACTCAGGGACTGAGGCAGGAGGATTACTACAAGTTCGAGGACAGCCTCCAGGAAAGCTCCCAGAGAGCTGGGATGTGGTTCAGGTGGTGGGGAGCATTGTGGGCCTTTACGTGACCTTGGATTTGATCCCCGCACTCAAGAACAGACAGAGAGCCCTGAAGTGATGGCCTGTGATCCCAGCACTCCGGAGGCAGAGGCAGGTGGATCTCTGTGACTTTGAAGCCAGCCTGGTCTACAGAGTTCCAGGACAGCCAGGGCTACACAGAGAAACCCTGTCTCAAAAAACCAAAAATAATGAAATCAAGTAAAATTAAAAGAAGAGACAGAAGCAGGCAGAGCTCTGGGAGTTTGAGGGCAGCCTGGTCTACACAGCTGGATTCCAGGCCAGTCAGGGCTACATCGTTACTCTGTTTTGCTTGTTTGTTTGTTTTACAGACAGGGTATTTCTGTATCTCTGGCTGTCCAGAACTTGCTCTGTAGATCAGACTGACCTCAAACTCAGAGATCCATCTGCCTCTAACTGTTGAGTGCTGGGAGTAAAGGCGTGTGCCATCACCACCCAGCTAACACTGATTTAATAACAAACAAACAAACAAACAACAACAACAAAACCCAGGCAGGAGAGCGAGTGCGGGCCTGGTGCAGAAGGACCAGAAGTTCAGGCAGTCTCCAGCTGCTTACCAACCTGGCACGTTCCAGATAAGCCTGGGCTACAGCAGATCTTGTCTCAAAAGGAAAAAGAAAATCTTAAAGCTGCAGTTCCAAGATTTTGCTAATCAAATGCCAGTGAATGATTTTCCCACCGGGAGTGGTCAGTGTCCAAAGCTGACCATCTTCAAAACTGTCTTGTGTTGTTTTGGACTCACGTGTAGCTCAGGCTGGCCTTGAACTCACTACCTACCTGACAGCCTTGAGTTTTTGTTGCAGAGAAGTACTTGAGGGCCATGAGGCTCACAGACTGGTGCTAGGCCCCTGCACTTGCGTGACCAGTGCTCAGCGTGCTCTTCCTGAGGAGCGGGCTCTCTGACTGTGATGTCCCCCTCTGGATCCTGTTCCCCTAGCTGGGCTGCCTTGTCTGGCCTCAGAGGGAGAGGGTTCACCCAGTCCTGCAGCAAGGGCAGGGTGGTACCCACGGGGACTTCCCCCTTCTCTGAGGAGAAGAAGGGCTGCAATCATGCAGTCAGGATGCAAAGTGAATAAATAAAGTATTTTTAAAAAAATGAAAAACCAAAAAAAAAAGAAAGGCTCGAGGGCTCCTTCACTCTTAACACTCCACTTCCGAGCCTTGCCCCAGTGGTGCGCGCCCGTGATCCCAGCACACAAGGAGGCAAAGGCAGGATAATCGCTGTGAGTTCAAGGCCAGCCTGGTCTACAAAAGACAGCCAGGGCGACACAGAGAGACCCTGTCTCAAAAGAAAAAAATAGGGAAGAAGAAAAGAAAAAAGAAAAGCCCACACTTCAAGAGCCCTTTCTGCTCTCTGATGCTTCCTTTCCGTGGCTCTTGGTACTGGCTTCGTGGAGAAAACATCTATTCTTATCTAACCCAGCAAGCAACAATATTAATTTTTTAAAGAGTTTCTTCTGGTTTTGCTCCTCCTTCCTCCAAGGTCACTTTTGTCTTCGTTGTTTCGCTTCCTGTCTGATTTGAAACCCAAAGAATCAACCGAAGCTGATTTGACCTTCAGTTCCTATTTGTATGTCAATACCCTTGCACTAGGTTCTTCTTCCAGAGGACGCCATCAATCACCCTCCGGTGTGGAGCAAAGTGTGGGGATCCCAGAAGTGGAGAAGGTGAGTGAACGCAGGAGAGGACAGCCGAAGGTCTCATTCACGTCGTCGAATCCCCCAGCCTTAGCTGTGCCGTGTCCTCTGGGCTGGAGTCGGATCCCTTTACCCTCTCCAGGAGGTCAACATCACATCTTCAGCTCCTACTGGCAGAAAGCTTGTTACCTTGTTCTTGCTAGAAGACTGTTTCTCACCCCTCTCATGCTGAGGATGGTTGTATACCCGTCAGGTACAGTGAGCACCCACTGAACCACACCCAGCCCCTCACTGGGCCTCTAGGCAGGGGCTCTACCACTGAGCCACACCCAGCCCCTCACTGG